TCAATGGTTGGGAGGGACAAGAGGTTTCAGCGTCTTAGAGGTAGATCCTGCAGGTTTCAGGGGACGGTTTGCCCTTCGCCCACTTTGAGAAGCCCTCCACATGATCGCCGCCCGTGTTATTGGACGACAGCACAGCTTCATGCGCCAACAAGGCGCGCGCCCACTTCGCGGCTCTAAGACGATTCTATCGTGCGTTTGCATTCGTACCCCCTACATCTTGAAGTTTTTAGGCTGTTTTAGCAGCATGTGTGCTTTCCAAACAGATCCTTGTGAGCAGAATTCTGGCCTTCACTGGCTAGAGAAGAAGTCGGCCGAGTTTTCCGGCTGCTTATCTGAAAGCACCTAGCAAACGTGCCTCGCCTGGAAAAGCCGGGTGCTGTGTGGACTTTTTGGCACCTTCGGTGTGCTTCTACGACGTGTTGTGTGGCAGGGGAACTCGAACCAGTTTGCGCCGAACCTTCGGGGCCCAGGATTCCCGAGAGCCCTAAGCCACCCAACCTAGGGGTCTGAAGAAGTACTGTATTCCCTTAGGATCCCTATAGAATTCTACTAGCCTCCTGATAGAATTAAGGCCCGTAGATTGGGATGTTCCCCCCTTATGCGAACAGTCCTTGCTAGGGATTACACTGGCGGGTGCTAGAATCCGTATTAAGGACTGTTAGTATAAGGGGGAGCATCCCAACCCGTATGCTAAGCCCTACAGCCCCTAAAGAGCACACCCTAGAGCCACCCCTTAAACAGGCGAGAAAGCTAAACACCCTAAACCCTAAACCCTAAACCGTAAACCCTAAACCCTAAACCCTAAACCCTAAACCCTAAACCCTAAACCCTAAACCCTAAACCCTAAACCCTAAACCCTAAACCCTAAACCCTAAACCCTAAACCCTAAACCATACACCCTAAACCCTAAACCCTAAACCCTAAACCCGAAACCCTAAACCCTAAACCCTAAACCCTAAACCCTAAACCCTAAACCCTAAACCCTAAACCCTAAACCCTAAACCCTAAACCCTAAACCCTAAACCGACTGTAGGCTCCCCTGTTTCAAGCCGGCGCACGAGTTCCAAGGAGTCTCCGGTGAATGCAGTATGGTTTTCGGGTTTTGGGTTGAGGGTTGAGGGTTTGCTCTGAGTCTGGGTTCAACAGTTGAGGGTTGCGGATACTTGGGAATTTCAGTTGTTTGGGGGGGTTTGGGGCCTATTTTGGCTTAGGAGCTCGAGAGTTGTGTTTTTGTTGGGGGAGAGCGGGTGGTTGGGTTGCAGGGGGTTTTAACCAGAGTCCACGCATGTTGGGCCCGAGGACATGAAGAAACCTGAGCCCGAATGCCTAGGGTTCTACAAATACATACTCCTTGGAAATGAAAGGGAGCTCGAACGGCGGTCAAAAGGCCCCCCCCCTCCCCACCCACCGGTTCCCCTGCACCCCAAGAGAGGATGTACAGACACTGTGCTGCAGCTCTATGTTGTTCGCTGCTTGGCGCTTCTTGGAGATACCCTGGTCCAGGCGAGGGCCCCAGACAGTGTAAAGATTGCGTCCTTCTGTGAAACTAAAGCGGTATATACGCATAAAGATGGGCAAGGAAGTGGATTAAGGTTCGGGGTAGCTCCGTGGTGTGGAGCAACGACGCGACGCAGGTCAGGAAATAGCATGGAGCAGTAACATGTCATGCCAAGGCATACGTACTCTGCAGAGCGTGTGGAGCCAATAGTCGGTCTCACTTGATTGAGTGTCTCCCATCAAAGCCATGGTAGACTGCTGTAGGGCAGTTTAGCAACTTTTCTTCGACATGTGCGAGCGAAGGGAAGCACAGGACGGTCTTGAGAGTGACTGGTGTTGCTCAGCACTTGTTGAAAAGAGTTGCGTGCAAGCAGGCCAGCGCATACAGAGGTAGACATCCGCAGCTGCTGGCCGCCTTGGCTTGGGACGGGTTGCATCCTGAAGAGTTGGGTGTCTCCCATCAAAGCCATGGTAGACGGCTGTAGGTCAGTTTAGCGACTTCTCTTCGACATGTGCGAGCGAAGGGAATCACAGGACGGTCCGAGAACGACTGGTGCTACTCAGCACTTGTTGAAAAGAGTAGACATCCGCAGCTGTTGGCCGCCTTGGCTTGGGACGGGTTGCATCCTGAAGAGTTGGGTGTCTCCCATCAAAGCCATGGTAGACTGCTGTAGGGCAGTTTAGCGACTTCTCTTCGACATGTGCGAGCGAAGAGAAGCACAGGACGGTCTGAGAGCGACTGGTGCTACTCAGCACGTGTTTAAAAGAGTTGCATGCAAGCAGGCCAGCGCATACAGAGGTAGACATCCGCAGCTGTTGGCCGCCTTGGCTTGGGACGGGTTGCATCCTGAAGAGTTGGGTGTCTCCCATCAAAGCCATGGTAGACTGCTGTAGGGGGGTTTAGCGACTTGTCTTCGACATGTGCGAGCGAAGGGAATCACAGGACAGTCCGAGAACGACTGGTGCTACTCAGCATTTGTTGAAAAGAGTTGCATGCAAGCAGGCCAGCGCATACAGAGGTAGACATCCGCAGCTGTTGGCCGCCTTGGCTTGGGACGGGCTGCACCCTGAAGAGTTGGGTGTTCCCATCAAAGCCATGGTCGACTGCTGTAGGGCAGTTTAGCGACTTCTCTTCGACATGTGCGAGCGAAGGGAATCGCAGGACGGTCCGAGAACGACTGGTGCTACTCAGCATTTGTTGAAAAGAGTTGTATGCAAGCAGGCCAGCGCATACAGAGGTAGACATCCGCAGCTGTTGGCCGCCTTGGCTTGGGACGGGTTGCATCCTGAAGAGTTGGGTGTCTCCCATCAAAGCCATGGTAGACTGCTGTAGGGCAGTTTAGCGACTTCTCTTCGACATGTGCGAGCGAAGGAATCACAGGACGGTCCGAGAACGACTGGTGCTACTCAGCATTTGTTGAAAAGAGTTGCATGCAAGCAGGCCAGCGCATACAGAGGTAGACATCCGCAGCTGTTGGCCGCCTTGGCTTGGGACGGGTTGCATCCTGAAGAGTTGGGTGTCTCCCATCAAAGCCATGGTAGACTGCTGTAGGGCAGTTTAGCGACTTCTCTTCGACATGTGCGAGCGAAGGGAATCACAGGACGGTCCGAGAACGACTGGTGCTACTCAGCATTTGTTGAAAAGAGTTGCATGCAAGCAGGCCAGCGCATACAGAGGCAGACATCCGCAGCTGTTGGCCGCCTTGGCTTGGGACGGGTTGCATCCTGAAGAGTTGGGTGTCTCCCATCAAAGCCATGGTAGACTGCTGTAGGGCAGTTTAGCGACTTCTCTTCGACATGTGCGAGCGAAGGGAATCACAGGACGGTCCGAGAACGACTGGTGCTACTCAGCATTTGTTGAAAAGAGTTGCATGCAAGCAGGCCAGCGCATACAGAGGTAGACATCCGCAGCTGTTGGCCGCCTTGGCTTGGGACGGGTTGCATCCTGAAGAGTTGGGTGTCTCCCATCAAAGCCATGGTAGACTGCTGTAGGGCAGTTTAGCGACTTCTCTTCGACATGTGCGAGCGAAGGGAATCACAGGACGGTCCGAGAGCGACTGGTGCTACTCAGCATTTGTTGAAAAGAGTTGCATGCAAGCAGGCCAGCGCATACAGAGGCAGACATCCGCAGCTGTTGGCCGCCTTGGCTGGGACGGGTTGCATCCTGAAGAGTTGGGTGTCTCCCATCAAAGCCATGGTAGACTGCTGTAGGGCAGTTTAGCGACTTCTTTTCGACATGTGCGAGCGAAGGGAATCACAGGACGGTCCGAGAACGACTGGTGCTACTCAGCATTTGTTGAAAAGAGTTGCATGCAATCAGGCTAGCGCATACAGAGGTAGACATCCGCAGCTGTTGGCCGCCTTGGCTTGGGACGGGTTGCATCCTGAAGAGTTGGGTGTCTCCCATCAAAGCCATGGTAGACTGCTGTAGGGCAGTTTAGCGACTTCTCTTCGACATGTGCGAGCGAAGGGAATCACAGGACGGTCCGAGAGCGACTGGTGCTACTCAGCGTTTGTTGAAAAGAGTTGCGTGCAAGCGGGCCAGCGCATACAGAGGCAGACATCCGCAGCTGTTTGCCACCTTGGCTTGGGACGGGTTGCATCCTGAAGAGTTGGGTGTCTCCCATCAAAGCCATGGTAGACTGCTGTAGGGCAGTTTAGCGACTTCTCTTCGACATGTGTGAGCGAAGGGAATCACAGGACGGTCCGAGAACGACTGGTGCTTCTCAGCGTTTGTTGAAAAGAGTTGCATGCAAGCGGGCCAGCGCATACAGAGGTAGACATCCGCAGCTGTTGGCCGCCTTGGCTTGGGACGGGTTGCATCCTGAAGAGTTGGGTGTCTCCCATCAAAGCCATGGTAGACTGCTGTAGGGCAGTTTAGCGACTTCTCTTCGACATGTGCGAGCGAAGGGAATCACAGGACGGTCCGAGAGCGACTGGTGCTTCTCAGCGTTTGTTGAAAAGAGTTGCGTGCAAGCAGGCCAGCGCATACAGAGGCAGACATCCGCAGCTGTTTGCCACCTTGGCTTGGGACGGGTTGCATCCTGAAGAGTTGGGTGTCTCCCATCAAAGCCATGGTAGACTGCTGTAGGGCAGTTTAGCGACTTCTTTTCGACATGTGTGAGCGAAGGGAATCACAGGACGGTCCGAGAACGACTGGTGCTTCTCAGCGTTTGTTGAAAAGAGTTGCATGCAAGCGGGCCAGCGCATACAGAGGTAGACATCCACAGCTGTTGGCCGCCTTGGCTTGGGACGGGTTGCATCCTGAAGAGTTGGGTGTCTCCCATCAAAGCCATGGTAGACTGCTGTAGGGCAGTTTAGCGACTTCTCTTCGACATGTGCGAGCGAAGGGAAGCACAGGACGGTCCGAGAGCGACTGGTGCTGCTCAGCAATTGTTGACGAGGGTGCAGTCGGCTGCTTTTGGCTGAGTTGCACCTTGAACAAGTGGGTGTCTTCTTCAAAGCAGCCAAAGCTTTAGCATGTTTATTAACTACTTTTCGACATGTTGCAGCTTCAGCGTGGGTTTGGGAATTTGGGCCTTCATTCTTTTCTGGCAGTCGTCCGGTACCCTGTCAGGTCATGTTCGCGCTTGGCTTCATTACAGAACCTTGCCTGGCATCTGGCGCGCGATGAAGGCTAAGTGTGTGTTTCTACCTGCTTTGTGTTAAGGTTTAAGATGTCTGGGGGGCCAGCGATAAGAGACGGAAACTCCTGGACCTGTCCTAAACCCATTTAAACTCCAAACCCTGTGGGTGTGCAGTGGACGCAGCCAGTTCAGATCAGGTCGGTTCATGGAAATTTCTGGGCCACGTACATGTCATGCTACAGCGACCAGTAACCACTTTGAACATGTCTGGACCTTTGCTTGACGATGGCAAGCCAACTTGCACCTGCTTCGTTTGCGTTTCGCCCTTCAGTAAGTGCATAAGGTGCATAAGCGTCTCATTTGTCCGCCTGGATGGATTGTCCAATCTGCCTGCAACATTACACGCCAAGCGGTGGGCTACATGTGCCGAAAGTCTTCCCCTGCGGGCACACCATCTGCGAGCATTGCTTGGATGCACTTCGCCGTGGTCAGCTGCAAGTGGAGTGCCCTCTCTGCCGCGCCAGCTGCGGGGCGGAGGAGGTGTGTACCAACTTTGCCTCTAGGATGCCCAGTACTACCCTTTTTCCCTTTTTTGGGGGTGTAGGTTCCCTTATAAACCCCTTCAAGCAAAAAAAGGGCCCCCTTTTTAATCCTAAGGGTTTAGGGCAACCTAGGCCTTGAGTTCCGTGGCCGAGAAGATGGTGAGCCAGAAGCCAGCACAAGAGGAGATGCCAGGTTCCCAAGGCTCCCGGGCCGAGCCCTGGACGCAGCCTTTGACCACGCCCCTGCTGCCGCCCACGCAAGAAAACTTTGCCCCCTCCGCGCCGCCCTTGGAGCCCTGGGAGGTGGGGCCCCAGAACATGCACCTGAGGGATACTTGGAAATGTTCTTCGTTTCTGGGCACTAGAAATCCCAAGAAACAGCCACACATTTTTTTGCGGAGGTTAAAAAGTTTCCGTATAGGTACGAGGAGGCCGCGTACCACGCCCAAGCCTTCCCGATGCCCGCCGGCGTGGAGAGCCCGGAGAGCATCGAGGCCTGGATGCAGCAGCGCCGCGAGATATTGCGGGACTGGGGCCGGAAGAGGGAGGCGAAGATGCACCGAAAGCCGCGGTGCCTCATGGATCAGATGGTCAGTGGCTCGGGGCTCTACCCAATCCGTTTGTTGGACTCTGCTTGGTTCACGCCAAGGGAGCGGGCCATGATCTCCCAGCTTGAGGCGATCCTCCAGGACACGGGCCACGCCCACACGTTGGCCTATGACATGCTCACGCCCCTGATCTACGACATCGAGGTGGCCATTGTGTTGGACAACAGCGGCTCGATGAATCTGGACATGCTTGGCCAGGTCCCACCCGCAGGCAGCATTGAGGTCGAGTCTGGCATGAGACCAGGCCTGCTTGATCGCGTGCTCAAGAGGTCGCTGCCAGGGGGATGGTTCTCCTGGGCCAGTTCACGAGCCCTTCCCGTGGCCCAGTCTCCGATCAGCCCGTACCACCGAAGGTGGTTCTTTGCGCGGCAACACCTTCGACGCTGGAAGCAGGTGTTTGAGGTCATGGGCCTCGATCCCTGGGTCTATCTTTTGAACAGCGGCGCTCTTGGCGCGAGGTGCCGGTGCTCGCAGGTCGAGCAGATCTTCCGGGAGAGTCCCCGAGGCCGCACTCCAATGGACGCGACGCTGAAGGAGGTGCTTGATGACCTCGCGCCGGGCCGCACGGGGAAGTCTCTCTTCATCTTGGCCATGACCGATGGGGAGGCCAACGACATGAACGCCTTCAACCAGGTCCTGGACAGGATACAGAACATGGTGTATGGCGACGTGCAGGTCTGCCTTGTGGGCTTGTCACTTGTCCAAGAGGACATCGAGTGGTTCGAGCAGGAGGAGTGTGAAGACACACGGATCCGCACGATCGAAGCCTTCGAGGTGGAGAACCGTCAGATTCAACTCAAGGAGGTGATGAAGCAGGAAGGTGGCTACACCTTTGGGATGCACGTCATGCGTGCTCTTGTGACCAACTACTACCCCGCCGACTACGACTACGAGACACCCCTGCAGAATCTTCGGCATCGCCTGTACATCACTGTTCACGGCCGGGACCGGTGGTGGGCACAGAACAACATTTTGTGGAGCGCATGTTGCACGTCATGCTTGTGTCCAGCCTGTTTCTTGGCGACCGGTTGCCACTGTTGCGGCTGGCTGCAGGGCAACGACTGTGGCAAGTACGAGCTTCCTCAGTGCTTGGAGCCGTGCTTCAAAGAGTGAGGCTTGGTACAGTAGCCCAGTGGTTCTCTTTTGCCCTTTTTTATTCTGGAGTAACCGACCCCAAAAAGGGTACCCTTGTTGAAATATGGTTGGCTCGAAAGTGCAGCAAGAGAGCAGCTGTAAGATGTCATTGTTTTTGCCACCCGGCTTGCCAAGACCAAGAAACACTTGCACGACCCATCCCCCCCCCCCCCCCCCCCCCCCCCCGGCAAGTAAATGAATCCTTGCATGGTCTTCATGGAGAAGCAGTTGGGCAGCTGTTGATGGGTCAAGTGTTTTCTTGGATTTTCCTGCCCAGATGGTGCAAGCTCATGGTGGCAGGCAGCCCAGGCACAGGCCTGCTAGGGGCCAGGCGAACGAAAAAGAAGCAATGACGACCGGTGGGTTCTTCTGTTCGCTTTGTGCCAGACTTTAGTGTTTCCCAGCGCTTGCGAAGACCACCTTGACAGCATTTGCAGTGTCCTACTCTATGGTGTTCCGGGCTTTCCACTTTAGGTTTGAGGGTTTAGTGCCCTAAACCCTAAGCCCTGAACCCTAAACCCTAAACCCTAAACCCTAAACCCTAAACCCTAAACCCTAAACCCCAAACCCTAAACCTTAAACCCTAAACCCTAAACCCTAAACCTGGGGTCTAGGCCTAACCGCTGAGGAAAGGCTACTCCACTTTGCGGTGGCAGTCGCTGCCTCCCGGACTCTCGGCAAGCAGCAAGACACCCCTTTGCAGAAGAAGCTGCCCTAAACCCGAAACCCGAAATTTAAGAGCCTCCGGCTCAAGCCGCCGACCCCGCTGGAGCATAGTTGAAAGGTTTAAGGATGCCAAAAGTTGATTTGCTTGAGCCTCTGTGAAACGTTGGGGGGGGGGGTAGGGGGTAGCAATTCAAGCCCAACAACCCGGAGAGGGGGGGGGGGTAGGGGGGGGGGGGGGGGGGGGCCGGGGGGGGGGTGGGGTAATGGGGGGTAGGGGGAGGGGGTTTAGGTTGGGAAAGAAAGGTCGGAGCAGCCAAGCCCCCATCACTTCGCCCAGGAACCGGGAGGGGGGGGGGTAGGGGGGAGGGGGGGGAGGGTAGGGGTCAGAAAACCTCCATGCAAAAGCTGCCCGGGTTCCCCCCCCTCCCCCCCCCCCCCCCCCCCCCCCCGCGTTTTGGGGGTAAGGAGGGAAAGAGGGAGGTTTTCACCTCCTTTTCCCATCCAACACGCCGCCAGGGTCCACGGACCCTAAACCCGAAACCCCAAGCCCGAAACCCTAAACCCGAAACCCTAACCCCTGACCCTGTTAGGGTTTAGGGAAACTAGGACGCAAGGCAGGCCTTCATTCCCTTTTTGTAGGGTTTCGGTTTCTTTATCAGGCCCTTCGAACCAAAAAGGGCACCCCTTGTTATTCAAGACTACTCTAGGGTGTCTTGCCCTTAAACCCTAAACCCTAAACCCTAAACCCTAAACCCTAAACCCTAAACCCTAAACCCTAAACCCTAAACCCTAAACCCTAAACCCTAAACCCTAAACCCTAAACCCAAATCCCTAGACCCAAGCCTAAGCCTCGGGCAGGTGTTTTTTTTTCTCAAACCAGTGGCATAGAGTTGAGGGAGGGCGGGGGCTCCCTCGCTGCAAGCTTGCAAAAGGCTTTCGGTGACGAGGGTTCGGTGCAAAGGGGCTTTCGCCTTTTTGGGTTGGTCGTTTAGGTTGGGGATGTTTCCCCCCTTGTACGATAAGTCCTTAACAGGGCTTATAGAACCCCCTATTAGAATCCCTGTTAAGGACTGTTAGCATACAGGGGGAACATCCCAAGTTTCAGGTTCAGGGCGCCACCCGAAGAGGGCCAGTCGAGGGTTTGAAAGGCTGAAGTTGATCGGTTTGGGGTTCCGGGTATTGGCAGCACTTGGAGGTTCATGGATACTTAGAAGTTGGGTTATCGGTACCCTTTGTAAGGTTAAACTCTAGTTACCATACTTCTAGCCCGACTTCTAAGCACCCATGAACCTCTGAGCATGGCCTCCAACATCTGATCGCCGTCTGTGGCTGCTGCAGTCAGACATTCTTCCGGTGGAGAGCAAGATTCCTAAACCCTAAACCCTAAACCCTAAACCCTAAACCCTAAACCCTAAACCCTAAACCCTAAACCCTTCTTTTCAGGGTGCTTGCCAAGCAGGAGGTGCTCATGAAGTGTTCAAGATGTGCTCAGACTCGTACCCCTATTAAGGTTGTACCCCTAAAGTTTTCCCTTAATATGCTCCTCATATGGCCCTTATGCTAAGGATCAAAGGGTCCCTAAAACCCAAGGGTGCAACCTTAGGGGTCCAAGGTAAAACCCCTGAATTTTTGAGACCCATCGCGGCCTCAGGACATGGCGAGGCGTTGAGCTCGATGTTAGATGCTCCTTGCCACCGCAGAATCTTCATCTTTATTCATTTGCCTCCCCCTTAGCACTCAGGGTTGCTTTGGGCCTTGTGGTTTGGGGGTTCAGGGCTTTCGGGCTGCACGTCGCGTGGCGTGGCAGGAAGCTGCCGTGAAAGTGGGGCCCAACACTGCACGCACACTCCGGACGTTTCTACTCTGGGATGTAGACCGCATGGCTTTTTTGTCAACGTCCTGAACCAGTCGCGGTGTAAGCTGCAAGAAGTGTTGGTTGCGCACAACTCGGTGGACACGATCCTGGGAGACGTTTCTCATATTCAAGGGTGTCTCTATGAGCTGGGTGTGTTGGTCTCGTTTTCAGTTGCCCCTCGTGAGTTGTTTGCGAGTGTCTTCGAAAGGGTGCCATAGACTTCTTGAAGTGAACCTGTCGTGGAGCAACGGACGTCTTGGAGTTCAGAGGGTTTAGGCACCGCCCTTCACACCGGGATTCGATCACCAAGGCCCTTCGGCTCATATCACCATTCCGATTCTCCTTCCTCCCATCCTCCCCTCCCCTCGCCCCTCGCCTCCCAATCCAAGCGTCACAAGCCCTAAACCCTGAACCCTAAACCCACTAAACCCACTAAACCCACTAAACCCACTAAACCCACTCAACCCACTAAACCCACTAAACCCACTAAACCCACTAAACCCACTAAACCCGCTAAACCCACTAAACCCCCTAAACCCACTAAGCCCACTAAACCCACTAAGCCCACTAAACCCACTAAACTCACTAAACCCACTAAACCCACTAAAGCCCCTAAACCAAGCGTTCCTGGTGCTCCAAAGGTTCCCGAGCTCTTCCAGTGGCGCGCCGTCAGCAGCGGCTGCAAGGAGGTCTCCCTACAGGCTGAGCGTGCGACATGCAACTCCCAGCTTCCCCCGGTGCATGAAAAGTATGTTTAGGGTTTAGGGTTTAGGGTCTAGGGTTTAGGGTTTAGGGTTTAGGGCTTAGGGTTTAGGCTTTCGGGTTTAGGCAACCCCAAACTCGAAACACCAAATGGAGCTTGTTCTAAACCATCCGGCCCTGATCATGCCAAAACCCTAAACCTTTCCATCTCTCGGCAACAACCCGAAGCTACTGCACCCGACGCCCAGCAGACAGATGCAGGGGCCCCGCAAGCACCAGAAGTTAGCAAACCTCTGTCAGATATGGAAAAGGGGAATGAGGGCTTGCTCAGGGGCTGCGTGTACATAGGTCTCCTGTCAGGCACTTTGCAATGGTTTGGCGCGAGTTCTCAGTGATTGCGAGCTGCAGAGCCCCACCGTCAGACGCCAGGAGGGAGTTGGGCCTCTCAATCAGGGTTTAGGGTTTAGGGTTTAGGGTTTAGGGTTTGGGCCTCCAAAGTCCGTTGCCTAAAAAGGGTTTAGGGTTTGGGGTTTAGGGATCCCGGTTTTTGGTTTTTCAGGGTTCCGCGTTGGAACTTGCCCTTCCCAGCCCTGGCCCGACAGCACCTAAATTGCAGCTCAACCTTCATGTGCAGTCCTAAATTTCGTAGGGTTTAGGGTTTAGGGTTTAGGGTTTAGGGTTTAGGGTGGGGGCAGCCCAGGGGGTTAGCGTCGCAGCCTTGCAGCCTTGGGATCTTGCAGCGGTCCTGTGGGTAAACCCTCCACCCCCCCCCTCCCCAAATCTCCTAAACCTGGCGCAGATGTTGTTTTCGTGTGCTTCCACGAACCTAAGGACATATACTAAGGACATATAAGGATACGGCGGGGTAAGGGAGGTTTGTAAGGGCTTAAATTCCCTTGACAGGGGCTGCAACAAGCCCTATCTCTTAGGACAGTTGCATGGCCCCTCAAATTTGGGCCTTTCATTGGGGAACCCATTCAGACCCCCTGTACACCCTATAAAGACCCTAAACCCCCTAAACCCTAAACCCTAAACTCTAAACCCTAAACCCCATACAAAACTCAGGGGGGGCTCCCTTAGGCCAAAAGGTGGTCCCCAAAAGCGTCCCTTGTGCCAGGCCTTGTCTGCCCTCGCCGGGCTGACGGCTGGCAACGCGGCGGTGCCGGGCCTGGCCACTGTAGCACCATTTCTTGGGATGTTCCCCCTTATACTAACGGTCCTTATTAGGATGATCGTGCCCCCTACTATAATCCCTGTTAAGGACCAACGGTGGTCCGTAATAAGGATTTTAGCACCCCTCCCCTATGATATTCCCTATGAAGACTGTAGGACTTTTAGGTTGGCGCAGACAGAAATCGAGGACTTTTTTTTCTTTCAAGAATGGCGTGTTAGGGTTTAGAGGGCTCCTGTCTGGGTTTACTCCTGTTAGGGTTCACGGCTCCTGTTGCTCCTGTTGGGGCTTAGGGCTCCACTGTACCATTTTCGAGAGCTCTTGTGTGGGAGCTGCTGAAGACCAGGCTACTTTTGTCAGAGAGCAGTGAGGAAGTACTTCCAAGTCCACGATCGACTCACACCTCTTAGGAGAGAGCTCCCTTCCAATTCAATGATCACACCTCTTAGGAGAGCTCCCTTCAGCACACGTTCAACAACTGAATACTGGTCTTACACTCTAACCTTTTAAGCCTCTTGGTGCAACTCCTGTCTTGGCCAGGCTGAGCACTCAGTGGCCAGGGACCCTAATCCCTTCCCGGCCCCCCCCCCCCAGGCCATGGCCCACGCAGAGGAGGCAAGGACATCTCGTGTGCAAAGTTCTTTGAGAAGGTATGGGGTCAACGACCACCTTCGAGCGGATTCCTTAACCTTTCAAAGGCCGAAATTCGACCATAAATATTGAACCATAAATCCTGAACAGTAGGTCTGGCCGCCCTGCAGTCAGAGAACGGATCTCCTGAATCGCAATTTCAGTCGGTGCGTTCCGGCATCGGGCTATGCAAGCGTGCCCGTCCGCACGAAGCCCCGTTGCAGCGTGGACCAAGGGTGCTCGCACGCTGCTGAGAAGCGTCAGCATGTTGGCCTTGGAGCTGTATATAGTATGGAGTTGGACTGGGCACCGGGCGAGTTTGTGGGTGTGTGGAGTCCCAGTCCGAGTTGAGAGAGATGTTTGGCAGTATCCACGCTTTCCGTGGACACGATCCTAGCAGATGTTTCTAGGTTCAAGGGCCTCTGTATGAGATTGATGTGTTTGCGAGCTGTCGCTGGTAGGGCGTTATGGACTTGTTCGCGTGATGTGGTGCTGTCGTGGAGCGATGGTGCTGTCACATTCCTGTCTCAGGCAGTTCCATAGCGAACCCTAATTAAACCCTAAACCCTGAACCCTAAACCCTAAACCCTAACCCTCAAGCATGTTGAGCCCGCTCGCAGGCCAGCCGTGCGCTCCTGGCCGACAAGCTGCCCGCCCTTCGCTGTGCAGGCTGGCCATGCTGGCCTTTAGGGTTTAGGGTTTCGGGTCACGGGTTACGGGTTTCGCATAGTCCTAACAGTTGAAATTGTTTCTCGACGCTGGCATTGTCGGATAGGAACGTGCAGTCAGTAGCTCCTTTTTTCATGTGCTGTGCACTGAGAGCCGCAACCTTTCCCTGTTTCGGCCGACTGCCCCCGGATGCAAAAGGGTTTAGGGTTTTGGGTTCGAGGCATCTGCATCCAATTTCACCAAGTCTACAATGATCATCTTCGCAGTCTCGTGGTTGTCATGTTTGAGAGCGTCCCAGTCGAGTATGTAGCGCGCGTGCGGCATGTCAGCCAGCAGAGCTGATCAGGTTGTGCAAGCAGCTAATTTGTCTGGCATTCCCCACCCAGCCCAGATGGGAAAAAGGGCCTAGGGTTCCGACTTCCAAAGGCATTGCTTGGGGGCTTTCAGCATTTTAAGGGTTTAGGGGTTTTGCAGGGTGAAAGAAGGGTTGCGGGTGTAGGGTGTGGGTTTCATAGATTTGCTGACTAGCGGCGTCCCTGGCCTCCGCCGTCCCGGATGAAATTAGGTTTAGAGTGCAGAAGGCCTGAAAAAGAGTTTACGGCGTCTTCTTAGTAAGGCACCGTAGGCTTGGAGAGACTACTAATTATAGAGCAGCCCGCAACTCCCCATGAACCTCCAAGTAGACCTGCTTGGGCTGCTGCGCTCATGCCCCTAATGGTCTTCAAGGTATTCCGGGTTTGGGGGCTTAGGATTTAGGAGAGCGGTCCAGATGGTTGGGTTCAGCAAGTCTCTGACCACCCCCCAAAAAACCCAAACCCTAAGCCCTAAACCCGAAGCACCGAGAATCCTGGGAGCTCGTTCTGCAGGACTCCTGGCGATGCTCCGCTTGGGGCGCTGGGGCGCGGCGGGGGACATGGCGGTGCTGCTCCAAGATGCAGATCAGGCGGGGGGGTGGGGGGGGGTTTAGTGTTTAGGGTTTAGGGTTTTCAGCAGTTTGAAGGAGCTAGAAGGGGACTGAGGTATGAAGGGGGTTGAGGTTCTGGGTGCAGTTGGGATTCTGCGGAAACCCCCCTTTTGCATGGCACACCGCCAGTCCCCAAGTTCTTAGCGGCAAGCACGAACCTAGCTCCAAGCCCTAAACTCCTAAACCCTCCAGTATCCCTGCTCAGAACCACCCCAAGCCCTCAACCCCAAACCCTAAACCCTAAGCCCTAAACCCTAACCCTGAACCCTAAACCTCCATGAGGTCGTCCGGCTCACGGCAGAGAAGGCCTTGATGGAAATGGCGATGCGCAACGCCGACGCCGCGCCGGATGCCAAGTAATTTAACCGCTAACGCGAGGCCGCCTCGGCAAGGTTTAGGGTTTAGGGTTTAGGGTTTCGGGTTTCGGGTTTAAAGGGTTTAGGGTTTAGGGTTGAGGGTTTAGGGTTTAGGGGGTGCCGAAACGAATTAAGGGTTCACGAGAAGTCAGGGGGCGGGGTTGGGGGTAGGGGGTGCCGCGGGATGCTGTAGGAGACATAGGGGGTGGGTAGGACGGTTAGGAGGGTCATAACTCAAAAGGTTGCGCGGGGGGGCCCTCGTCCCAGCACGTCGTCCCACTGGTCGGCTAGCGCACTAAACAGTGCACGCTGGGAGGAGGGGGTGGGTAGAACTATGAAAAGTTCCCTACAGTTCCCTAGATCTAAACGCCAGCAAGGGAGTTCGGGTTTGGGGAGTCGACTCAAAGAGCCCAGGCGAGCCATCGGCCACGCCGTCGCGCAGATGCTGCGCAGTACGCTGGCGGCCGTGCGCCTGCACTCGACGCGCGTCCTAGGCTGCTGCGCGCCTCGGTGGCATGACCGGGGCAGCGCCCCCTGAGAGGTTCTCCCTATACTAGGGTGCTTGAGACATGGTGAGCACTATCGGAGATCGGAAGCTACTCAGGTCGTGAAGCAAGCGAGCGAAGGGGGAAGCAATTCCTACGAGGAGGTGCTGATCTTCCTCCTAAGTTCCGCAACCGATGCAAGCTGCCGGCGTGGGTGGCAACAAATTCGATTGAGGGAGCCTGGTTCTCCTGTAGATAGTTTTTGTTTTGTTCGTAGCTGCTCGTGGAATGCATCCTTCCTACGCTTTGGTGGGCCTGTGGTTTCGTCCAGGCGGCAAAAACAAGAGGTCTCCGCTGGTTGTCAGTGAACTTGTCAGGCTGCTTTGGGGTTTGAGATGGTTTGAGTGGTCGGGCCTGCAGTTTTCCAGAGGCTCCCTGGCCACAGTAGCAGAGCTACTGTAGCGCTACCAGGGCAGTTCTTGGAGTTGAAGGCCTTGATCTCAGCCGTGACGCTGGGCACGCCGGAGGATTGGGCACGGGATGCGGACACTCGGCAACAGTCGCATGGACCAGGACTAGGACATATAGGGTTTAGCCTTCACCTGCCCATGAACATCTCCGTAGCTTCAAACTTCTGGAAGGCTGAATGCGGTCTGCGAAGACAGTATCCCCATGAATGAGGCTTCGGCGTCGAACATCCCCTCAGTTCTAAGCCCGTCAGTCCTCAAACATCCCAAGGCGTCTGTGTTTCAAGTCGAGCCAACAGCCCTCATCCCGCCCTCAACGCCTCACAGCGCTCAAAGCCATAATATAGGGAGTTTTGGGGGATTATTAATAAAGGAACCATGTTGAGGATAATTCACAAAGAAACCATGCGGGAATACTATCAGTAACTATTCCGACCCCCTATAGTCGCTCTACCCCAGGAAGAGCTGGCCGCCCGGTGTGCCGCAGTGGACGTGCTCCACCTGCTTGCCGCTCAGGCGCTGGTCACCTCCGAGCTCGCAGACAATTAAGTGGAGGGTGTCCTAAACCCGAACCCCCCAAGACCCTGAAGCCCCTAAGACCCTGACCGAGAGTCCCACCATACTCCAAAACACGATGCATGTAATCACATCATGTACAATGTATATTGCAGGAGGCGCTGGTTTAAGGACATGGCAGGTCACATCGTAACGCGTATCTCCCGTGCCTGCGCACGCAGCGCAGAATACTGCCGCGACATCGAGACAATGCAACACAAACTCAGCGCCTTTGCTATGAGCGCTTGGGCACAAGAGTTAACTCCTGCCCCAGCAAAAGGCTGCTGGCTTGCTAAGGCCAACTGCTTGGAATGCGGTCGCTGCATTTGTTACCCACCCTAAGCCCCAAAGTTGTGGCCTAAACCCTGAAGCCCAGACCCTGGGTCGAGCAAGGCTGAGGGGATGGCAGCGGGTTGGGGCAAACACATCTGCAACGTAGCTTGCGGCTTCGGGTTTCGGGTTGAAGGTGCAGGGGTGAGCCACCAGGTTCATACTACCGTCTTTTGGGCATCAGACTCTTCGGGACCCTGGCTTGCAGTAGAAGTCGAGGGTTCCCCCCGTGTAAACCCTAAACCCTAAACCCTAAACCCTGAACCCTGAACCCTGAACCCTGAACCCTGAACCCTAAACCCTGGCCGTGGTTTTCTCCCAACGTCAGGAGTGCCGCAAGTCAGGCACTGACGTCCTGGAGCGGGCTGCGACAGTACTGGATGTGCCGAGGTTGTGTCATTAATATAGGGGTCGGAAGAATTACTACGAGTATTCCCTTAGCTTCCCTTTAGAATTATACTAAGAGTATCCCCTTAGCTTCCTTTTAGAATTTCACTATAATGACCCCCCAAAAACCCTTTTCTAATCTATCAAGGTTCCTATATTACTTGTGGGGCACGTCGGCTTGAAGCCTTGAGATGGAGTTTCATGAGTGATCATGGGCTTAGCATATCGATTTGGTATATCCCATTTGGCCTTATCAACCCACTTTTGTAGGAATGAACATACTTTGGACTAACTCCCCTCAATACCCATTGAAAGTGTGTGTAGGGTGTTGACGCTGGACTGCAACTTATCGCTTGCTGCAGACTGCAGCTCCGCCGCAGACTAGGCTTCAAGCTAAAACAGTAGGGTTTTGGCTACATAAGGGTTTAGGGTTAAGGGTTCAGGGTTTAGGGTTTAGGGTTAAGGGTTTTGGGGTCTAGAAGAACGTACCCTACATTGGATGGAGAGAGAAGGCTTTCCCGAGGTGTGGGTGATGAACGTATTTCTTGCGAGGCCAACCTAAACCCTGAACCCTAGACCCTAAACCCTAATTCCTAAAACCTAAATCCCTAAACCCTGTCGCCAAGGTGGGCCCCTCGCAAGGCACCTGGCCCAATCTGGCAGAGTTTCTGAAGGCAGCAGCGAGGAGAATGTGTTTGGGACGTGGCAGGGTTTGAGGACTTCCATGAGCTTCGGACACAACATCGCCTCAGTCCAGAATTATGGCCCCATGTTGTTGCGGCTGGGAATCGTGGAAGCCCCAAAGGCTTTCGATGCTAATGTATTCCGCATAGTTTAGGGTACCAAAATGGGTCCATAACGCAGAACAACCCTTGTGTCAGACCACCCCCCCCTCCACCCCCCGCGACCAGGACACAGTCCGCCTCCATCGTCACTTGCGACCGCCTCGCCAGCCAGAACCCGCTCGTGTCACGAAGCTGGATGTTGGAAGCGGTTCTTCGTGGCTTCGCGGGGAGAGCGTTAGGTCCAGCTCAGCCTTCTTTAGGCTTCAGCTTTCTTGAGCCTCATGGGAGACTGAAGGGAAGACTCCCGAGCTTAGGATAAGTCAGGGCAGTAGCCTCAGTAGCCTTAGGCCTTGCAACCCTTGCAGCTGCGCTGAGAACCCTCAGCCCTGAGACCTCTCCTTCGGGTTCAGGGATTTCAGGGCTTGGCTCTGGGTCTGGGTTCCAAATGGTTTAGGGTTTAGGGTTTAGGCTCAAAAAAGGGGCTTCGGTAGGGTTTGGGGACTATCTAATGTGCCGCCCCCTGGCATCTGGATTGTCAAGGCGCCGCGCCGCGTTGGGCATTCTTCCCCTGGTCTTCCATGGCTCTGCTGCTGAAACTGTGGCAACCGTTGAGGCCCGGTTTAGGGTTTAGTCCTTTCCCAGCTGACTTCTGACTCAGGAGTCTGGGTTTAGAGTCCATACCAGCGGTTTCCAGAAAACCTGAGATGCTCGGCGCGCGCTAAGCGCACGACACATCACTAAGTCCATTAATTTCTGAAGTATAGTGTATTGGGGCTATTGATTCTTAAGGGGTAGGAATTCGGGAGGGGATAAAACCCTGCAACCCTAAAACCTGTTGAACAGGTTCTGAAACGGTTGGCATCGCACTCCAACCCCTCGGTCCGCATTGCGGCACTCGACGGTCGCTCAGCTGCGTACCCTGCCCGTCCTAACCCTGACCCTGATCCTCGGGACTTGTGGTGTGCGAGTGCAAGGGCTGAAGCCCTAAGCTTCAAATCCCTCGGCATCAGTGGGGCTTCACCTGGACCAGCCACGCCGCCCTAAATCTCACCCCGAGCCACATGGGCACCCAGACTGACCCACATGTGGGGGTTTTGTTGGATCATTGTCTTGTGTGGCCTCTACACTTGGGAGATGATAGGGAAAGGACGGCTGTGAATGGTTCTGCGGGACATCTCTGCAGGGCGGGAATGACATACTGACATACTGGTATGAAAGGGTGGGATTCCATGGCTGGTGTACTTGTATACTTAGTCTACTTAGTCCTCTTGTTTTTAGAGGGATGCCCATTTCGTGTCTCGACTTGCGCTAGAGTCTAGGGCCTAGAGCAGTGTTGAGTACATGGCCTTGCTGATCGTGGGATATCGTGGACTCCATGCTGGAACAAGTACTGGGTTATCCCTAAACTCTCACCCTAAACCCTCAACCTAAACCCTAAGTCCTGGCCAAGTGAGGCTTTGCGGTCTTGGCGCCTCGCGACAGTGCATTGCGAGGCGCAGCATTGCAAGCTGCAAGCGGAGTGACTCGCCCCGAGAGGACGTGCAAAAGAGCAACAGAGTATACAGTGTTACAGAAGTACCGAAGGCCTTGGGGCTTGAGGACTGGGATTCAGGGCCAGGGTGTACGTTGCGCCCCAAACCCGAAACCCTGAACCCTAAACCCGCGGTGACATGGCCGCTCCTCTCTCTCAAGAGTCATTCTAGCGTAGATGGACCAGACCGCCCGAGCGAGTGCGAGAGCCGAAGCCCGGAAGTGTACCAAAAATGCCCTAATCCCGAAACCATAAGTTCGAAACCCTAAATTGGGTTTAGGGCTTGAGAGTTCTAGGGGGCCTGAAGTGAAATGCGCAGGTTCAGGGTTCGACCTAGGTCAAGCTTTAGCTTCAGGGACTCAGGGGTTTGGGCTTTCTGAAGCAGCCCGGCAGCAAAAAGGGTTTAGGGGTTTACGTAGGGGCGTAGGGTCTAGGGTTTAGGGGTGTAGGGTTTAGGGGTTTAGGGGTGTAGGGTTTCAAGTACCCCAAAAAGGGAACTGTACAGAGAGGTGGTAGAGAATCCCGTCCGACCAAACAGCTGAGGCCCTCTGCGACAGCGATGGCCGGGTCTGCGTGCAATCTGCGGCTATGGTGCCCACGCTGGTGAGTCGTGACTTGGTTTTGGTCGTGAGATTCGGTGTGTCGGGCTTTGAGGGATTTAGGGCATTGGGCCATTAGGTTTCGGAGGTTAGGAGTTCAAAGTTCAGGACTTAGCGTTTAAGATGGCCCTGCTTCATTGAGCCTCAGAAAGCCCTAAAACCTCTTAGACCTCGAAGCCCCAGCAGCTGCAGGCAGGGGCCACCTCCCGACTGTCTCGGCGGCCTTACGCAGTCTCCAGGCAATTCCTGCTCGAGGATTCAGGGTTTAGGGTTTAGGCCCGCGTCTTAGGGTTTTTCGGGATTAGGGTTTAGGCAGGCTTTTGGGGCCAGAGATCTGTCTGGACAGACTGGACTCTGTAGGGGTTGTCAGTGGTCGATTGATGATCGTTCTTTTGCTACACGTGAGAGGCACTTTCTTGGAGGTTCATGTGGGTATTCAGATTTAGAGTTACAAGTATGGGAAGTATCGTTCTGACCTTTGTTAGGGTACTTATGAGTACACATGAGCCGCCAGGTTCTCTTAGTTGGTGCCTTTGAAGTGCGACGAGAGAGTCAGCCCTAAACCACAAACCCCCCTATCGCCATCCTGAGGTAGAGCCACTCCGGCAAGCAGAATATGAAAAATTCCCTAGACAGCCTATGTTTCCCGGGAGGGTTTAGTCACGCTAAACCTAAGCCCTACACCCTACACCCTACACCCTACACCCTAAACCCTAAACCCTAAACCCTAAACCCTAAACCCCAAACCCTAAACCTATCGGGGTTTAGGTTTTCTGTCAGGCGGGTTTCCCATCCCTGTGCAGCCCATCAGGCACCCCAGGGTGTGAGCCGCCGGGCAGGAGCAGAGGCGACCTCTCTGAGATACTTAGGGTTTAGGGTTTAGGGTTTAGGGTTTAGGGTTTAGGGTCCCGAAGCAAAACCAGGGTTTAGGGTTGAGGGCTGAGGTCTGAGGGTTGTTCTGACGTCAGGTTTTTTTTGTTTTTCCTTCGATGGCTTTTGTCATAGTTTGTTGCGAACAGGCCCCCAAACCGGCATCCTAGTTGCTAGTTTGGAGATCTCATTTCCGGTTTGATTGTGAGGGCCGAGGCCCCAGGATTTAGTTCGATCCTAGAGAATGCTTCTCGTCCGACAAGACTCCCGACAAAGGCCGTCCTACCTCCCCCCAAAAATATGCGGGCGAAGCGGTTCTATAGATTACCGCATGACGGCAAAGACAACGACGACGAGGACGCGGAACAGAAGTGCCGCAGCATCAGCACCATCAGCAGCATCAGCAGCACCAGCAGCAGGAGGAACAGCAGCATCCGCAGCATCAGCACTCAGGTGCAAGCAAATGAGAGGCCCAACTCCCTGCGTTCCCTCTCACTCTTGCAATGTATCTTCGGAAAACCGGCATCTAATACAACCACGCAATACTTTCTGGACAGTATATATACTTGAGTGAAATGTGATGGCCTGTGTGAATGTAGAACGGCGATAGTCCGTAGCTTCTTGCTGCTTTAGCGCTTCTCCAAAAACTCAAGGAGCCGCAAGCCAAAGCTCAACCTGAGGAAGTGGAGCCATAGGCTAACGCCGTTCAGAATGTCTAAAACCTTTTCCCTAACCCCAAACCCTAAACCCTAAACCCTAAACCCTAAGCCATAAGACTGCGAAAGAAGCGAAGTACCCGAGGTCTTGGCGCAAGTGGCTGCGCAGGCCACATGGGAACCTGCTCTTCGGGGCTCATTTGGGGAGTACCGAAAATGTACCCTTCTTGGGTTCCTTTATACGGGGGATTCTATTCTATTGGGGTAGAAGAAGGGGTACCCCCCATTTTGGGAAATGCCCATTTGGGTTTGGCTTAGGGAGCTCGGATACTTGGGGGTTTGACGGCGTTCAGCGAGGTTGACCTTGGGACTTAATGCCTGGGTTTAGATTTGGGTTTACGCCGCCGGGCGACAATGTCTTTGCGAGAAATCTACATGTGGTGTCCATCGGTCAAGGATCCGTTTGTTGCCGTTGGAGTGCCCAAACTCATCATCATTTCTCCTTCATACTTCGCACATCTTCCCGTGCAGTGTACATGACAGAGAACCTTTCGCATGATGCTGCTCCGCACCCTGAACCCTGAACCCCGTACCCTAAACTCTGGACCCCAAATCCTTAAACCCCAACCACGCCTGTTGCGCGCCGGGAGGATGACCACAGCGTCACGCGAGCCCTAGGCACGCACCACCTTCGACATCCCTTAAGCCCGAGACAGGTTGCTTTTGGCAGGCTCCAGGCCCCCCTAGGCGTGCTTAGCTTCGGAAAGTCCGGGCTCGTTAAGGCGGGCTGTTGCACCATGGGGTAAGACCCTGAAAGCCCTAAACCCGAAGTGCTAAGGGTTACGTCGACGTAGCAGATATCGGATGTCTCATCCTGCACGGTTTGCTGCGTGGATCATGGCGAAGGGTGGTGAAGAGTTGCTTTTGGCCTTGAGGCTCTTGGCATCCCTGGGGTGTTTCGAACCTTGTAAGAGTTGTCTGAACACGTCCGGGCGCGGCCCTTCTACCTAAAACCCGAAACTCATCACTGCGACCACGTCTTCGTGTTCAGATTGCAAAGCCCGCCGTGAACGGCTCATGGGGGGGACTTTCCGACCCGAGAGGCCTCCGACTGGAAGACTCGGACCCGGCAGTTCGACGGGCCGCAGGCTGCCACAAGTAGGTCAGGGCTTAGGGCTTTGGGGCTCAAGGTTTCGGGTGTTTCGGGTCGTAGGTTTCGCTCTTTTTGTGTGTGGGTTTCTCTCCCTAGGCATGTTGCTCCCGCTGCCTCGCCAGAGCTCAGCCTCAAGCCCCAACCTCCAAACACCTCGGATGCAGGCGGAGCCTTGGCAGACTTACTCGCCCTGGCCGGCCAGGACAGCCAAACCCCCCTAGCCCCAAACCCTAAGTGTGAGACTCGGCATCCTTCACTCCTAATATTCTATAGTCCATCGGGATTGCTTTACATGACTGTCGGAAGCGGAGCCATGTGGAGCTCAAAGTCAGGGCTTCCGACGAGCCACCGGAAGCCCTTGCGAGGACTTCGCCAGTCCTCCGCCTGGCCTGTACCTTGACTTATGAGCCGAATGAACCTGTTCATTCTTCCTCAAGCTTTTGGGCCGTCTTGGGTCGTTTGGCCGCCAAGATCCTCAATCTCGGATTGCATGTAGACCCAGGCACGAGATCCTATCCCGGCTGGAGCACCCGTCGCTGGACATCCGGCGCACGGCCGTGGAGGCAGGCAGAGCCGCCAAGGGCTCCACCAGCTTGCGCTCCAAAGCTCCGCCAGAGTCCACAACCAAAAGGATTTAAAAGGATTTAGGGGTTGCAGGTTTGGGGTTTTCAACAAATATTTATCTTTAGGGGCTTTAGATTTTGAAGGTTCAGGGCCAGATCCCCGGCGGCGGGCGGGGAATCCAGAAGGCAAGAATGTCCTGGATTCAGCCCCATCACCCCCCAAGACCCCCTGGCAACCCAAGCTGTGCTGGAGTTTAGGGTTTAGGGTTTAGGGTTTAGGGTTTAGGGTTCAGGGTTTAGGGTTTAGGGTTTAGGGTTGAGGGGGCCCTGCCGCGCCTTTCGGCTGTGGCCAGGCTTTGCGCCAGTTGGCTGCAAACGAAGCAGCGCGTCCATGGGCTCCTTGGCTGCGCTTAGCTGTGGCGGCGGAAGCGAAGGTTCAGTTGTGTGTGTCTGTGACACTCTGTGCTGGCAGCCGGGAGCCAACACCCTCTTTTTAGGGTTTACGATAAAAAGGGGTGGGGTGAAAACCGAAACCTCACAATCTTCCTAGAAACCCAAACCCTAAACCCAAACAAAAGGCTGAACCCCGACACCCTGAAGCACTACATATTATATATATGTATATAGTGCTAAGCAACCCTTCTCTGAAGGTTCATGGGTCGTGTACAAGTAGGGTTCTAGGTACCTTAGGATAGGGTGCGCAGTCGGAGAGTTAATCCCTTCCCCCTTGCATGAAACGCCCCCTTGATTACAAAAACGCTTTCGGGAAAATCCTGCGAAGCCGACCCCGCCTTTCAAACCCTATTCCGAATAAGGGGGGGTTCAGAGCCTCAAAAACCTTCAAGCCAATCTAAACCCTATCCCAAAAGATGGCATATGGATGAAAACATCGAATACTAAAACACACATTTCGCGTTTCTACTGGGGGAGGGGTGGGCCCCCTGTGTTCTGGGTTAGGAAGAGGAGCAAGACAGGAACGACTGAGATCTTTTTGGGGGCGCTTCTGCAGTCTCCAGAGTGTAGAGTCCCGCACCACCAAAATGTGCCGCCTGGCGCATGTACTGCACCTCTCGAAGAACACATGGGGCCACAACCCCCTGACTGGCTGCCGTGAGGGGCCGAATCTGAACCATGTTGATGGCAAGGTCGTGGCAGCTGTTTGTAAATGCTGCCAGCACGAGAGCCTGGCTGTGCGCCGGACACTTGCTTGGAGAAGCCACGATGGCAAAGGGTATCGGGTTTTGATTGCAGCCTTAACCCATTGGTTTGGTGTCTGAACTTGTTTGTTAAATATCAGCGCAAAGCAGTCAGTTCTTGCCGAGAAGGAACGGAACTACTTGGAGGTTCATGGGCAGTCATGCGCAGGGTTGGAACCTATAAATAGCTCTTGTGATTACTTGTATCCTCGGGATACTGAGACCCCCTACTTCTGACCACCCACGTGCCTGGGCGGTTGCATGGCAGTAGTAGGGACACGCCTTGTCCTTGCAAGAAGGGTTATTTGGCAGGCCTCCCGCCCTTCACATAGCAGACCGCATATCATGTTAGGAGTCCTCTTCGTAAGAACGTTCGCTACTTCGGCGTCCTGAAGGGCTAACAGGGTTGCAGGAAGCCTGCAGTGCATCCTTGGCCCCCCAAAAGCCCTGAAGCCCCCCAAACAAGACTTCAACCCCAAACACCCGGAGAGCCCCTGAGCTGAACCCAAAAGACAGTGACGAAACCCTGAAGCTCAAGAACTCCCCAACCCCCACCCCAACCTCCCCTCCCCCCCCTGGAAAAGAGAAACCCCGACCCTGCTCAAAAAAAAAAACTGAGCCCCCCCAAAAAGCCTTTGCCACGAGGACGGCGCTCCAAGCCCTCCCTGTCACAGCCCACCTGTCTGATGAGTCCGTGTGGGGCAGCCTCGAGGCGACATCGGCTCGTGATCCTTCTCTTGTTTTTTCCTTGGGAGGGGGGGTGGTAGGGGGGGGGGGTAAAAGGGGGGGTAAAAGGGAGGGGTGGGGGCTCTTAACAGTAGCAGGCTCATTGAGGTTCCAAAGGGGAGCATGGGGTTTGCCCTTCAGGCGCAAGCCTCCGCAAGAAAGGGTGGTCACTACGGGGATTCCGGCCCGGGCTCAAGCACCCGAAGCTCAAAGCCCCTACTAGAGGAGTCGGAATACTTATCAATTAGTACTGGCCCCTTTGTAAGAACACAATAATAACCACCCCAAAGCCGTATTCCAATTATTGAGGCCCCTCTATTACACCCTGGCCAGGCATGCCTTGCAGACGAGGCTGGGGGTAGATCCGGGTCGAGCTTGTGCTGGGGCGGGAATGTTGAATACGAGTCTCACGACAGTCGTGCCACAGACTGAAGTCAAGGAAGGACGGTGGCTTTTTCGGGTTTCAGGGCTTGCGCGGTTTGGGGCTGTCACGGTACAGCACCGGAAACACAGGTCTCCTGTAAAGCCAGCTTAACTCAACTGCAACTGGGGTTGGTTCCACACACATATGAGGTAGCCGCGACCAGGTAGCCGCTACCAGGTAGCCGCGACCAGGTAGCCTACAGGACAAGCAGCCCTGAAACTCGCCAAGAAAGGCGTGGCAGCTTCGCCTTACTGCGCTCCAGTCCATTGAGGAGCTGCTCCGGTCGGCTGACGCTTGCCTCAGTTGAGGATTTTGAAAGAAAGAGTTTGGGAAACGAGGGTGTTGAGGGTCTAAAGGCGTAAGGAGTTAGGAGTTCAAAGGTTTTGAGAAGGGTTATGGACTGCATGAAGGCGTCTTGAGAGGTTGGAAGTTTGTCATCGGTCTGGGCTTGTCCATGTGTGTGGGAGAGAGCGCGTGAAGATCGCCTGGCCTTGAAGCTCGCAGTGCTACATCACGACCATTGAGAGAGACCTGGAGATTCGCAATCAAAAACCACAAACTCGACATGTCCTCATGGCAGCCCCCTCCCCCCCCCCCCCCCCCAACCCGACATGTCCTATCCAAACAGAATGCCTGAAGATATCCCTCGCAGAGGCCTGCCCTTGGGCAGTGGAGCCTGACAGCTTTTTGCACAGTGTGCCGCCAAGCCTGCAGTGGAAGCCCCTAAACCCAAAGGGTCCCATAAGTAGTCGGGGCATGCCTGAGCAGCGTAGCAACCCACAGGGTCCCATAAACTTAAACCCCAGGGACCTCTAAACGACGCTAAGCTCCCAATCCTAAGTCCTAAAGGCCGTAGAAGCCCTCCATGAAAACCCTAAACGCTCGAAGATCTGCGCCAAAGGAACATGTTGCTTGGCTTGCTGGCCTTGGACAGCTCATCGTAGCTTCAGTCCACCAGGATGTAAACCCTTAAGCCGCGCTGGCCTCTAAACCTCCGAGCCTGAAACTTTTGCCTGGGCCACCCTACAAAAAGCGACCTAAAGAAAAAGACCGGGGGTTTCTGGAAAGATGTCCGGCTGTGTGAGAAAGGGAAGCCGCAACCTCAACAAGCACTTGCCGCTGAAGTGTGGCGGTCAATCCCCGAGCCTGCCTTCACTGAAGCACTGTGAGATGGGGCGTGGCAAGGATGCTGCAGCTCGCAAGAGACCGTGCCTGGAATATGCAACCCTTCAGGGCTCCGACGGGGTTTTAAGTGGAGCCTCTGAGAGGCTCCGCTGCCTCCAAGCAGACACCGAGCCTGATGCCTGTGTTCGCCTCGGCGCAGTCCACATTTTGGGCCGCATCTGGGCAGCATTCAGAGCCGAAATCTCCCGCAAGACGGTGCTTAGAAGCCCAAGTCATGCTCCCAGCCCCTTGCCACCATCGCAGTTGTGCCACCCCCTCGCCGTCCCCCCCACCCAATCCCCTGGCCTGGAACCATCTTTACTACTTCTATTTCCGTTTTGGAAACATGAAAATCCTCAATCTAGAATAGGTCCTGACCATGTTTCGGGCTGTGCAGGGTTGACGGGGCTTGGGTTCTTGGAGGCGAGTGGGCTGGCTGAGTGTGCATTCCCAAACTTAGCCTGTGCCTGGGTGCAGAAGAAGTCCCGCAAGCTGACGGGCGACTAACTTGGCAGTGGATGAGCGCATGGGGACCCTAGCTCCTCAACCCTTAACTCCCAACTAAGCCCTAACTGCGAAACCCCAAACCAAGCCCCAAACCCTAAACCCTAAACCCTAAACCCTAAACCCTAAACCCTAAACCCTAAACCCTAAACCCTAAACCCTAAACCCTAAACCCTAGAAGTGGTAAACCCGCCTTCGGCCAGCATCTCCCAGAACTCTTGGCTCCCCCCCCCCAGCGGAGGCTTGCAGAGGCTTTCAAAAGCGCACGCCGCAGAGGTGCCAAAGACCTTTCCCAAAGGGAAAATGCAGGGGGTGCAGATGTTAGGGTTTAGGATTTCGGGTTTAGGGTGGTTCCTAAACCTTAAACCCTCCCTATGAGTGGGCGGCAAAAACGCCTTCGTCATTGAAGGGCTCCTATAAACCCTTAAACCCTCAATTCGGAACATGGTTTTGGGAAAGTGGAGTGACAGCTGGTGTTCGGGAGTCTCGTGCATCGCCTCTCACTTCTACGCGGTTTCCGCAACATTCAAGCAGGATGTGTCTGAAGTTCGCTGGCTGGCCCCTTGAGCTATTTAATATGGTGGGGGGGGGGGGGGATTTTGGTGTAGAGAAAGTGAAGTCACCCAGTATGGATCCCTGCGCAAGAGTGAAAGCCGAAGCCCTAAATCCTAAACCGTTAAACCCCAAACCCTAAATCGTTCAGGGTTCGTGGAGCTTGTCTGAGACCCGGCTGTAGATGTGAAGGACATTGAAGCTGTAGTTTGTGAATGCTCCGGTGAAAGATGTTGCAACTTCATGTGGGGTTCATTGTTGTTTGTGGGCAGCTTATTGTTACTTATTGGTTTGCATAGGGCCTTGGGTCCCGCATTGAGCCATGCACTCATTGCTTGGGTTTAGGAACCCTAAGCCCTAAACCCTCAACCCGAAACCAAGAAAGGTTCAGGGTTAAGGTTCGCCTGAGCCAGCCTTTGTTGCAACAGGCACTGGCTGCGTTGCAAGCCGTTGCCGACAGTGATCCCGATACAGACGTTCAAGAAGCAGCGCAGCAAGAGCTTTCAGCGTGAACGACAAGTGCTGGAGAGAAAAGGACAGGGAGGATTCATCTAACTTGTAGGCTCATGAATTTACGAGGTAGGCCCCCTGGGACAGTTCACACCGGACCCCTTTCGGGCTCAAAAAGGACCTTTCTTCGGGCTGTTTTCAGGAGGGTTTAACGGGTTCACCTAGTTCAGGTCAGCCTCCCACATCAGTCCTGAGACAGACATTGCACTCAGCTTCACACACGAGGCAATGACGCCCAAAGGCTTGAACAGGCCTTACTTGGAGGTTCACGGACAGTGATAAGTAGGGTTATAAGTGCCCCAAAGTAGGGCTACAAACTTTCGTTAAGATAACTTAGTTTCTATTACAACCTATTACAACTACCCGTGTCGCTTAAACCCAGTAGAAGATCTGATATCTCCTTTAAAAAATGTTTTTGGGCGGTTTTAAATGTGTAGATGGTGTGTGCATTCTGGTTCTGAGGGGAGTATAGACATAGCTTCTTTAGCCACCCCCCCAAGAAAATTCTCAACCACGGGAAGTGACAACTTTACCTACAAGGCCTATGAGGCCTCACTTGTTTGTTGGCGGTTTGGGGTTCGAGATTGCGGTTGCGGAGCGCAGCCCCCAGAGAATCATCTGTTCTAAGCCGCCCCAAGCCAAAAACCCCAAGGCACGTCCAAGACACCAAACGGTGTTAACTCCAAACTTGAACCCTAAACCCTAAACCCTAAACCCTAAACCCTAAACCCTATGAGGGATGGGTGGGCGATAGTGTCACTGAGTTATCACCAAATTTCGTTAGGAAGTCCTGAGGTCTACAGAATCCTATGGGCTGTGTCACCAGAGAAGTACCCAACCGAAGCCTTGCCGGCCTTGTGCGAGTGTGAGAGTCGAAACCCTAATCCCTAAACCCTAAACCCTGCGATGTGATGCATCAGCTAGGGCTAGGCGGGTGCCATTAAAAAACAAACCCTGCGTGTTGCTGGTCACGTGCCGAGGGAGTCGAAGTCGCTGGCCAAGCATGGATGCCGCGACCTCAGGGTTCAGTAAGTTTGGCCTCATGTGGGTTAGGGTTTAGGGTTTAGGATTTAGGGTTTATGGTTTAGGGTTTAGGGTTTAGGGTTTAGGGATTTTAGTACTCCCCTCTTGGAATCCCTATTAAGGACTGCTCGTATGAGGGGGAAAATCCCAAAAGGTCGGGCTACAAAGGCAGTTGTCACACAATTGACTTATCCGGCCGTGTATGGACTGTCAACTCACAGCTTCAGGAACGTCGCTTGGGCCCCGCATTCTTGCAAACTTGCGGTTGCCGAAGCTACGGCCAAACTTGAAAATCCATGCCCAGAGCCCTCTTCCCCTTGAACCAGTTCGGATTAATTAAGCGGTGCGCGTCTCCTGGTCCCCATTCAGTTGCAGCGGAAGACAGTCAGGCCCCAGCTTGCACACTGCGCTCCCCGCCCCGGTGCATGTGTGCAAAAAGACTTCTGTCTGGTCCGTTGTGCATGTGGCCAAGAGCCCTAAGCATGTATTTTGAGAACCTCCGTGTTGCCACTGAGTGGTCCTGACACGGGGTACGAATGGGTTGTGCCATCACAGCAAATTATCCCTCTGGGCTCTGCGTTGAAGCATGTTGAAGTTACTTTCGTTCGAGCTTTTTTTGGCTATTCACAGTCCAGAGCAGTTGCCCCGAGCCGGATGTGAAGTTTCTGCTGAGCTTTGGCACGCGAAACGTCTGGCATGCGAAACACTGCCGGAACTTTTTGCCTTCAGAGCCGTGTGCTTACCAGACCTCTATGCCGTATCCAATCCAAAGAACCCACACGAACCGGACCTTCCAGAATCCTCACTTAGCTTGGCAGCCCAGTGGTAGCCTTTTAGCTCTTCTTGTGGTTCAAGGTTCCCTTGTAAATTAGCCAACTCCAACAAAGGGTACCCTTACTATGATATGGTTACTGGGCTACCACGTTAGGGATGGTGTTTCTGTCTTGGGCTTGCAAGATTGGGTTTGGTGTGTGCGTCAGCATATTTTTGCCGCCGCAGGGCGCTGGCAGCTGCGCTTCAAATCCCCCTGCAGGACCCGTGGGCCGTTCGGGGTGTCGGGTTGGCGCCACTACAGTTCACCAGAAAGGTGCCGCCCGGGATGAGATGATGTGACCATTCGGAACCCTCCAGCCTCAATGACAGCCCCCCAAACCCTACCCTGGTGCGTCCGGAGATGTGAGCGATGAACCCCTCCCTCTGACATTAAATATTCCCCTTGTTCTGTTAGTATCCTAGATTGGGACTCTCTTCCCACCCAGGGTATTTTCGGAGGGAAGGCGGTGAAACTCCTGCCTGCTCAGGAGATGCAGGTGTCGGCAGCGGCCCGAGGATCGGGTTTAGGGTTTTAGGGTTGCCTGTTGCGTGTCCGCCAGTAGAGCTGATCAAATTTTGTTCTGGCATCCCCTGCCAGTCCCCTTCCAGTCCAGGGTCGACTGCTTATGGCTTGGGGTGTAGAGGTAGAAGCCTAGAGCCCGGAATGATCCGAACTCACAAAACCTAACGCCCCCGGACAGTGAACGGACCTTGCTATGACATGTTACGACCTTCGGCGCGGGAGACGAGGGGGCAGGTCACCTCTGTTTTTCTCATGTCCCGCCTGGTAAGGTGTCGGAGCAGTAGCAACGACAAAGGCTAAACTATCAAAAAATGGAGCCGAAATGCCGTCGCCCTCGCCTGTTGCGGGTCTATGGTGCTATCGGTGCGACAACAACGCTCGTGAAAGTCCTCAGGCATTTGCTGCTTTACTCCACTGGGCCGCCGATAAAACAGCTTGTCCTTTAAGATGGTTGCCAGTGATCTACAGAACCTTCGACCTTCCAGGGGCCTTGAGCTCGGCATGAATGCGTCGTGCAGGAGCTTGAATTATCAGAGAAGAGGAGAGGAAGAGGAGGAGAGGAAGAAGGAAGAGGAGAGGAAGAAGGAAGAGGAGAAGAAGAGGAGGAGAGGAAGGGGAGAGAAAGAGGAGAGGAAGAGGAGAGGAAGAGGAGAGGAAGAGGAGAGGAAGAGGAGAGGAAGAGGAGCGGAAGATGAGAGGAAGAGGAGAGGAGGAGGAGAGGAGGGGGGAGGAGGAGGAGGAGGAGGAGGAGGAGGAGGAGGAAGGGAGACACCCCGCTGTCCCTCCATGCCGCACTGAGGTGTTGCTGATGCGGGAACAGCTCTGGCGGCATCACCCTCTTCAGCGCCCGGGATCGGGTTTATGGGCGTTGTATGCCTTACCCCGCTAATATCCGGCGAACCTGGTGCGTTCGTGCATTTTCTGGCTTTCGCAGCTCCTAACTCTACGCCTCAAACCCTGCACCCAGGTGGTCCGATCATGCAGCATGCAAAAGACCTCTTTCACGGTTTGTACGGGGACCCGAATTCCGCAACTCCCGATGGAGAACCCGTAAACAAGCAGACGCAGCCCCTCTTGGCACCGAGGCACTTCACCCTGACACGCTCTACAGAGGCGCCTCCCTGCTTTGCGGGTGCTTGGGGGGTTAGGGTTTAGGGTTTAGGGTTTAGGGTTGAGGGTTGAGGGTTGAGGGTTGAGGGTTGAGGGTTGAGGGTTGAGGGTTAGGGCTAGGGATTAGGGTTTAAGGTTCCTGGGCTGATGCTCAGAGCCTAAGTTCAAAAAAGGGTTCCTGGGCTCAGAGTCTAGGAGTGTTCCACAGCACACGTGTTTGCGAAGCCTTCCTAGAACGCAGGCTGGCAGGTGGGATGCACGAAAAAGAGGCACCATCGCCACTGCCAGGAAGGTTCTTGGCCCTTGGCTCTTCGAAGCAGGGTTCCAGTACCAAGGTTACAAGCAGGTAGCCCTATAGTTCCCCAAGCCCTGAACCCAGAGCCCCTACACCCTAAGCCCCTAAACCTTAAAGCTGTGGCTAGTCGGGTGGCAAAAAAAACCTCCTTCAGCCCTACACCCCTAAACCCTAAACCCCAAACCCAGAGGGGGTCTGCTAGGCGGGTGGCAACAAGAAAAACAAACCACCCTGAACCTTGAATCCTAAACCGCACACAATCTAAACACCGACCTCTCCACTAGGATCCCATGGTCACCCCGAGCGGTGGGTTGCTCTACGAAACTGCCACAAGCCTTGGCGAGAGGCTGGGGTTTCGGGTTTTGTGCTTAGGGCTTGGGGTTTAGGGTTTAGGGTTTCGGGTTTGGTGCTTAGGGCTTGGGGTTTGGGATTTAGGGTGGGTTGGGGTCTGGGTTCGAAAGTTTTGTTTTGACTTTGCCGCCACGGCTGGACAGCCTGGGCTCAATTTCATGTTGGCTCCAAACTCATGTGCACAAACTCAATCAAACTCATTCCTGCACTTCGCACGGCTACAGGCATGTTTGCACAATTTGTTGCATTTCAAGCCTCAAGCGTTTATGCCGCAAGTACTTTGGATGATGCGAAGAGCCCGGGGGCCTCAGGTGCACAATACGTGGTGTCTGGGTGGCTTAGAAAGCTCAGCACGGGCTACGGTCAGGAAGGCTTGGAGAGGACGATGTTAGACTAACTCTTCTTCTCAGGGCCCTGGATCCCTGTGAACCAAATCAACGAAGTGCAGGGCTTAGTGGTAAATTCCCGTGCTGTTGAAGCTGGGTTCTATCGGCTGTCGGAGAGCCTGACGTGCAGCAGGTGGGACTTCTTCATGGCCGCCCGGGCCCCTAGCATGTCTTGAGGCAGAACAAACCTGCACCCGAAGCCCTAGGGCCCTGGGCTTCGACTCTAAGGCCCCCCCAAAACCTTCATCAAGTCGAACCCCAAGAAGGTTTGGAGGGGCCGGGAGAGTATAGGTTATCTAAGTTACATGGGTAGTTGCTCACACTTTCTCCAGCTTTCGGGAACTCTGTCACATTCTACAACCCTAAGCCCTTAACTTAAGGACGACTGTAGGCCCAGGATTCTCGCGTGGCTGAGTAAATCAAGGTTTAGGGTTTAGGGTTTAGGGTTTAGGGTTTAGGGTTTAGGGTTTAGGGACTTAGGGTTCGAGCATCCGATTCATTTTGGGGGAGTCAGGGTTTAGAGTGTTGAGGGTTGAGGGCTCAGGGGTTTTGTGCTTGGAGTTTAGGTTTCGGGCTGCACTCCCGTGCCCGACCACCCAACATTCTCGGTCGCAGGTCCGGATCCACAGCGCGAGGATCAACCCAGGATCCCTGGCTTGAAATTGGTGGACATGGCTTAGGGGCGAGAAAGGGGCTTCCTAGACCTTTTTGAGGCAGTATAAATCCCCTCATGATCCCAAAGGTGAACCTTAAATTCCCCCAGGTTACTGGACAAAGGGACCCTTATGAGGGGCCTTAAAGGTTCCTTGGGGCTTATTTCGGGGCTACTTAGGCACATAGGGACTACATAAGGTATATATACTGTAAGGGTTCTAGGGGAAGAAAATTAAGGGTCCCTTCTAGGGGTCCCTCCTTATACCCCTTTAGTTTAGGGGGTAGGTTATAAGGGTTTAGGGCAGCAGTCGAGTCCCTTGTGAAAAGGGGTTTAGGGCTCACAAGGGGTTCAGGGTGTTAGGGTTCGGGGGTCTAAGGGCTGAGGCTTCAAAAGAGTCGCGCGCGCTCAGACAAGCCTGTGTAAAAGGGTTCAAAAGGATATAGCATTGTCCGAGGTAGGAGAAGGGGGACCCTTACAAGGGAACCCCTTCTTAACCCTCTTCTGGCTCTCTTAAACAGGGACCTTATTCAGAGGGTCTATATCCCCAAGGGTCCCCCTAATCCTATCCCCTACATTGCCCTCAGTCCGCGGTAAAAGTGTTCTCGGCTTAGGGTAAAGCAGGTTTGGGGAGGGGGGTCAGAATTTCAGAGATTTAGGGCGCCTTGAGTTTGTACTGCACCCTTCCCCGGCAGAGTTCTCGAGGCCTGGATGCACAAGGGCGTGAGCTTCCCAAGCCTGACCTCCAAGCCTGGTTCGGCCTCGCTCGCACCCGCTGCATGGTAGCCTCGTCGGGGTACCCGATTCAATCATCGGTCTGGTATGGGCTCTTCTTCCCAGGCAAAACACTTGAAGGAGGCTTTGCCTGGGAAGAAGAGCCCATACCAGACGGATGACCTGGGCCTCTCGATGTACACGTGCCCGCCAACCGAAGAGTTGAGCGTACGCGAGTTAGAGGATATCACTGTGAACCGACTGAAACTGCTTCACATCTGCAGAAGTTATCAATAAGGCTGGCTGGCGAATGTGGAAACCTTGAGGCTGCAGCTGGCGCGGGACCTGCGTGAAGCTGGCCTCTACTTAGCTTCCCCCAGACCGGAGCGTGCAAAAGGATTCTTGGTCGAGAAGGCCCAGCTTCAACGTCGGGACAGAGTTTCTCACTTCGCTTTGAAGCTGGGATTCCGCGAGTCGAACGAGGCTCGAGAGTGGCTGCTGAAACGCAGCGATTGTTTCGTCTTCTGTTTCGAGGGACTGCGCGTGGATGCAAAGGAGGGCTTTTGTGGAGTCCGTGGGCATCAGGGGCTCAGAGGTTCGAGGAACGATCTGATGGACCCTCCTTGCAGGTGCTGCAGAGGTACACCGTTGGCGCAAAGACTTGGAGACAGGGAGATCGGCGTCCCGAGTACGAGCAGGCCTTCTACGAGATACCTTTCACGGAGGTGCCTCCGGTTTTCATTGCCAAGAGACAAGTGGTGCTCAAGAAGGGGGCGACAGGAGGTCCTTGAACTTTTTGGCTAGGATCAGCTTCAGTGAGGTCGTTAGGGCGACCTCTTTGAAGCTGATCGTAGCCAAGAAGTTCAAGGGCCTCCTGGCGCTGAGTTTGGACGCGGCCTTCCAACCGGCCTTGGCTGAGGCAGCCGAAGGAGATTGTTGAGCCCCAAAGTACGAATTAAATATGAAATTGAGGGGCTCTTCATCATACTAATATTTGTCTTTTTTTATCTTTTTGACAATATGGGATTGCAGCTGGTGCTGCCTCTGCGCTCATCCTCGCAGCAGGAGTCGCCCCAGGAATCCGGCCAAACTTCGACGAGATGCTGTCCCTCCCGATGCTGCCCCTTTGCATGCGGCGGCTCTTTGAAAGACAGCGTCAGGATCGGAAGCACTTGAAGTTCGAAGGAAGGCTGCAGCTACGGGCCTTCCGGAAGGAATGCGGTTTCTCCTTCGAGGACTCTGTCAGTTGGTGGAAGCAGGAGCTCTGCCGCAGCAGTGAAGTTCTTGATTGTGTCCCTTCTTCTCGCAGGCATGCTCGACGACAATCGATTCCCAGAAGTTCGAGAAGCACTACATGTATGACTCATACATGCAGAGCTTCTCGAACTTCTGGGCATTGATTGTCGTCGAGCATGCCTGCGAGAAGAAGGGACACAATCAAGAACTTCACTGCTGCGGCTGCCCAAAGCTCATCGGCTTGCCTGGCGAAGAGTGTTGGCCAGGTTCGCGGATGTCCCTTGAAGCAGACGGACCCGGGGTCCCTGCGTCAACAGCTGCCAAGGTGGCAGGCGCCTGCTGCCTTTCCGAGTGGAGATCGAGACGCTCAGGGAAGGCCGTGAGTATCAGCATCCTAAACGTGAAGGAGCTGGCTCCCAGGTTGGGAACTTTTTTCATGCAAAGTTTTGTGAATATCACAAGATGAAGGAGGCTGACCTCAAGACCCTCTGCGTCGGGACCTTTGCGGGGCAGCGCCGGTGTGGGTGAGCCGGGTGTGCCATGTAGAAGCGCGTGGAGGCCCGAGCTGGCTTGACAGCGCAGGGAACCCTGGGGCTGGCAGTGCCAGATACCATTATTACCCTGGGGAATTATTTTTTTATTTTTGTTTATATAAAACCCAAGGGGATATGAAACATTTTTTTTTTTTATTAAGGTTCTAAGGGGAGTATAGGATACCACACTTCAGGTTGTGTTGTGCATCACTGCGAGCTGCGAGCGGTACATGGTGATCGAGTTTAGATCGTGCAGAGTGATCTTTGACTTTGATACTTTTACTGACGATGTCATCACAGTTATTGAAATTGCTCACAACTGCTCTCAGTGCTTCAGAGGGGAAGGGGGTGGCTGCCGTCGTGTGATGGTTTCTGGCCGACGTGACAAGAACAAAAGGAAGCCCCATGAAGCCCCATGCTTGTCACTACTTGGAAGCCTCTCAGCTTCTGCCGCTGTGAACCCTAAGCAAGAGTACTTCCAAAACCCTAGACCCCAAACCCGAAAGTGCGATGTCTTGAGTTGGTGTCGTAGTCTTTTGAATACTGGCTCCTCCAAATGCGAGCTTGGTAGCCGTGCTGTGAGGGATTGACTTCGAGAGTGTTTGAGTTGTAAGTTGGCAGAAGGTCCCCAAGCTTGGGGGCGGCTCTCTTTGTGGGCTTTGTTTGGTTTGATACTCGGTTGGTTAGTTGGTTGTTAGAGCAGAGACTCTTGATAGAGATGAGATGCCAACTTGTTGCATTTTCAGTACCTACACTCTCTAGCGATGGCCATCACGTGGTCCCTTGAGGAGTACCTGGTTCATGCCTTGGTCGTGCAGTTGAGAAATTTTCCGATGGGTTTTGTTTCGTACAAGGCTCGGACGGGGGCTCGTATGGAGGATATTGCGATTTGACACAGACAGTTCCCTGCGGAGTGTCCGAGAGGTCAGCGAAGCGGGTGGCAAAAAAAAAATCCCCTTTCACCCTCCCCCCCCCCACCCCGACCCCCACCCCCCCACCAAAAAAAGATGCACCCGTATGCCAGCAGCACCCAGCGGTTTGGGAGACGTCGGTGTGCTCAGGCGACAAGAGCTTTCAGGAGATCATGGCCCCAGCCTAAAGACAAGGTTTGGGGGTTTAGGCTTTTTCTGGCCTGCCTTCGGTCCAGTGGCAAACAGGGCTTGGCGGGCATGCGCCCAGGGCCTGTGCTCAAAAAAGGGTTTAGGAAGTAGCGGGGCATCCGGCATTCGTCACAAGGCCTGGATGTAAAAAGGGGGGGGCATCGCATGAGACCTGGATGCAAAAGGGTTCTAGCGGTTGTCTACTTTTTGCCTTGCTTCGGGTCGCCGCGTCGCCCTAGATTTTGCTGCCATGGCCTACCAAAACCGAAGGGCCCTAGAGACCAAACCCGATGAGCTGCAGACCCGCGACCCAAATCAGGAGTTCAGGGTGTCCTAAAGGGTTTCGGGTTTAGGGTTTAGGGTTTTAAACACTAAGCCGGGCAAGTACACTGCTAGGTAGTTTGCTTGGTGGGTGGCAGGAAAGCAATCCTGAACCTTGGGGGTTTTGGGTGACACTCGTGGGCCTGAGGCCTTCCAGCCACGATCCATTCAGGAGGCAATGTGGGCTTGTGTCCTGTTTTTGGCCACGAAAGCTTTTGCTTCTGGCGCTTCAGCTTGAAACTCAGGGGAGTATGGTTTCTTGAGCACTTCCGATGTTCAGCACAGGGCACAGGGTTTAGGGTTTAGGGACCGATGGGGGGCACATATTGGGCGTGAGGGTTTAGCGAGTCGGGCAAGGGTAGGGTTTAGGGTTTAAGGCTTAGGGCTTGGGTTTAGGGTTAGGGTTTAGGGTTTAGGGTTTAGGGTTTAGGGTTTAGGGTTTAGGGTTTAGCTATTTCCGAGGCTTGAGCCTGGACTCCCCGACCCCAGCCCTAGGGATTAGGGCAGTTTAGGGTTTAGGATTTAGGGTTTAGGATTTAGGGTTTAGGGTTTGGGGACCCCATGGCCTAAACTTTACGCAGCAGCCCCCCCTGCTCGCAGGCTTTCGCAGTGTCGGCTCCCATCAGTGTGTTCGAGGCCGTCCAACGCAAGACTGACAAGGCCGCCGAAACGGGTGGGAAAAAAACCCCAAACCCTAAACCCTAAACCGCTCTGCCACATGCCTCGCGAAGCGTAGTCGGAAGGTCGCACAGATCGGCCGGCTCTCAGCCGTGTTCAAGATCCGCGGGCTGGCCTGGGGTGGGGGACTCGACGTCGCGCTGGTTTACTTGGGGGTTTAGGGTTTCGGGTTTAGGGTTTAGGGTTTAGGGTTTAGGGCTACTGGGGCTTAATTTTCGATTTTGGGGGACCGTGGAATGCAAGCCGGCTTGGGTTTGGACCTTTACTTGGGGGTTTGGAGGGCTTAGGGTCTTCACTTATGCGGGTTTAAGGGTCGAGAGGGCTGCGGGTATATGCTGAAGAGAGGTCCGACGTGCCATAGTGTTCCTGAAAACTTCCCCAGCATTCTTATAGTAGAAGCTCCGGCCAAACCACAGCCCCCCATTATTCCGGCCACTTTGGTTGCCGATCCATTGCTGCTGTCTGGATTCAAGCACGCTTCTGGCATTGAGGGTCTTACTTGCCGATGCTTTGTGGGCGTGAAGCCGTTCCAGGGCGTACAATGAGACATCAGCATACCCCCCCCCGGACATGGGCTCGATGATGCTCACTTTGGGGGCGGGGCCAGGGCAAGTTGGAGGCACATGTGGGAAACCTCAAAAGACACGGTAGGATTCCAGCATTTCCTGGCGTTTTTGATAGCCTTGGGGCAGGTCCGGGCTGCTGATGCTCCCCTTGGTTTGGGCTTCTCCATTAGGGTCGCCATCATCCATCGAGCCCATGGGGATGGGGCCCAGACTTCATAGATCAACTTGCGCACCCGAAGCTCCCGCTGACCTCCGATAATCCAGGCTCTTTCAACAACCACCCTAAACCGTGAACCGATGGCAGAGTTGATGGCAGAGTGGGTAGCTGCGGTAGGTGTAGCCCAATGCCTGGATGAGAAGCTGGGTTGGAGGCTGGTGATCATCCAGGGTGGCAACTGTCGTCCTCTGAAACTGAGACCCAGAGTAGGCCCTTATTCCCCTGTTTTTACGTGCTTGGGTTCCCTTACAAAGCCCTGCGAAACCAAAACGGGCACCCTTTCTATTCCTTGGTTACTGTTGGGTCCTCTGAGATTGTCCCCGCAGCGCATCAGCTTGGCGGGTGGCAAAACCCCAGCAGAACCTGCGCCGAAGAACCAGCCTCAGCCCTCTTGCAAGGTGAGGAGCCTCCACCGGACGCAGGAGTCATGCTGGGGTGTAATCTTAGGGCTTAAGGGCTTAAGGGTTTCAGGGCTTAAGTGCTTCAGGGCTTAAGGGCTTAAGGCGGCAGGCTTAGGGCTTAGGGCTTCGGTCTTTGCTAGGCTTGACAGGGAAGGTGAAGGTTGAACGGTGGCGTTCGTGGCTGGCTCGCTTCGTGGCTTCCCCGGTCGTCCTAGGCCCCTAGGCCCGAGTTGTTGGTGCTTGGTCTCAGGTTATTGAAAGTCATGTCGCCACCCCACATGGCCCTCATCTTGCCGCATGGCCGGCTCCCTACTAACATAGGGTCCTTTGGCATCACAGGGCCCCCCCCTGAAGGAAACCTAGTTTCGAGAGCTGACCAGATGGCCTGGGCCTTCGAAAAAAAAGCGTGAAGCCCAAACACCCAACTTAAACCCTTTCGTCCCTGGACCCTGAACCCTTGTGCACGCTTTCTGCCCCCTTCGCCGGGAGCTTCGCCCTCCTCCGACGTCGGTTGGGTAGGTGTGCCGAATGAGGTGGACAACGCTGGCAGGGGCCCCGGAGATTTTTTCAGGGAACCCCCGGGGGAAGTTAACGCAAACGTCCCCAAGCGTAGGCTCGCCTGTGGTGGGCAAGGGCTAGAACCCCGACCTGGTGCCCCTCAAGTGTTGGCGCGTGGGGGGGGGGGGGGGGGAGTTTCTGGAGGGATCCTCATCGTAGAATCTGGGATGGGGGTTGCTAAAGAGAGCTGTGCTTGTGGAATTTCAATCTGTTTCAGGAGTGGCCCACGTGGCACCCTGGACCGCAGCTAGCCCGAATTGAACCCAGAAGCCAGGTTCCGGGGATCCACGTCGACCTTCTGATGGCCTCGTGGCTGATGTTGGCTCTTTCTATCTGCAGGTTCGAGGATGAGGGGAGGTCAGGCGTTTAGGGTCTCGTTACTGCTTAGCACACCTTGGGGGCGACGTCGGGGAGGAGTCGCATCTCCTTGTTTTGCTTGACCCTAAACCCTAACCTCCAGTCGCTCAAGCCCGTAAAGCCCTGCATCCTGTAAGCCGCTCAAGAAAGCCTAAAGTCCCCGAACTCCCAAAACCCGAAAAGCTTTAAAGCCCTGAAACCCCCAAAGCCATACCTGCCTGTGAGCGTCGAGAGCCTACAGCCTACAACCCTTCGGCCCCTAAAGCCCCTAAGCCCAAAAAATCCTTGAAGCCTTCATGAGCCCTACACCCTAAACCCTAAACCTTAAACCCTAAACCCTAAACTCTAAAGCCTAAACCCTAACCCTAAACCCTAAACCCTAAACCCTAAACCCTAAACCCTAAACCCTAAACCCTAAACCCTCTTCTGGAGGAGGTTCATTGCCCACGGAGCCGCCGCCTTGAGCTCAGCGCTGCTTTCCGATTTTTTTCTCTTCTTTTCTCTCTTTTTTTTGGGGTGTGGGGGGGGGGGGGGGGTTAAGGTTTAAAGGTTTAACCTGAAGGTTTTGTGGATGTGGGGTTCGAGGCCTTCCAGGCTGAGGTTGGAAACTTGTAGCAAGTGCGTTTAAAACCCCGAATCCCAAACCCTATAGGACCTTCAACAGAAATCCAGGAGCTTTTGCGTTGCAGTGGCTGGGGTTTGGTTTTAAGGCATGGACGACAGAGGGGGAGGGGGTGCACCTAATGATTTTTTTTTTTTTCTGGGGGTGATTTGTTCCCGAATCCAACTCTCGTTGT